CGTTGTCGTCGTTGCTACTAATTATAATATTATTATTATTGATTGATGGACCTTCGTACATTACAAAAATGTAACCAATCAAATCAATTAACGAGTTTTATCTTTTTTTTTAATTTTTAAATGTTTCTTCCAACCAAATAAAATAAATAATAAAAATTAACAAAAAGAGAGGTTATGTCACGAAGGGTCAATCAATACACCTAACATGAGCCATCCATGTGAGTTCCACCCTTCGTCACGCGGGACTTTACAGCTGGTCCAAAGTGAGGCATACACCTAAGGGAGCCAGACACAGAGTGTCCATAATGGGTACTTCATCATTGCATGACTTTTATCCGGACGATTAGTTATTATTAAACCCATTCTATGACTTATATACCAACTTTTTTCAAGTTGTGCAAAATATGGGATATCAACCAGTTTACAACTGGATAAATTTAAATTTTTATTGTGTAGTCTAAAAAAAAATAGAAAAAGTAGACTGTTAAATACAAGATGTATCATACATACAAGCTTCCAAAGCATGTTGTAAAATATACCGATGAACGGTTATCAATTATTAAGTTTCCAAATGAATGCTTCATCAATTATGAATAGCTTGTATCGAAGTAAGTGTTAAAGTCAAGATCTATGAAGCTGTTTGTAAAATATATTTAATCAATTATTCAAATAATTATATAGACGGGCTTGGTCGTCAAGATCTATCTGTAAATCAAATTTCCAAAATGAACGTTTATTATTATAGGCGGGATTGATCGAAGTTAATCAAGATCTACGAAGTTTGCAAAACGAATGTTTATCAATTACTCAATAATTATATAGGCGGGTTTGATTGAAGTAAGTGTAAGTCAAGATCTATGAAGCTTGCAAAACGAAAGTTTATCAATTATTCAAATAATTATATAGGCGGGATTGATCGAAGTTAATCAAGATATACGAAGCTTGCAAAACGAAATTTTATCTTTATATATATATAAATATCTAATATTCTTTTAATAACGGATATTATTGGATACGTTTTCAAAATCTTCATGATGGCAATACAGAGCATTACTTGAATTCACAATATCCAGGCCAACAGAATGAAGATACAATGGAATTTAATAAAATTATTAGGGCGTCACTTGTAACTTGAAAAACAAGTTATTCAATATCAAGCATTTCCTTCGGGCGATTTCAACAAATCTTCTATACGTGCTTATGTCAATGATTCCACAAATAAACTCACCAGCAATTATATGAGTCGCGAAAGTCCTCCTTCAACACCACTTGCTTTGGTTTATGATGTTTAGAATGCCTTAACAATTGTATAACTGTTACCATGGCTGTAATTTATGGAGATTTCAAAAAAAGAAATGCAATCAATACCATGGTTGAAAAACTTGATGATGTGGCTTTTGAGTTGATTCGGATTGCTCGTGAAGTTGGCAAAGAAGGAAAACTAGGAAAAAAAACAATGTTTAGATGGTGACTGGAAGAAATCATGATCCATTTAAATATGATAGCTAATAATCATTCTGAACAAGTAAGAGATATTGCTGAAGTATGTACTGCTGTAGTGCATGGGTGATTTAAGCAAAAAAATTACTGTTGAGGTTAAAGGTGAAACTCTTGTACTAAAAAATACTATAAATACTATGGTAAGATCTCTCAATAATTACAATATTATTATTATTGAATTATATTATTATTGTTATTATGATTTATTATTATCAGTCATTTTTCATGTAAATATTCTTTTTTCTTAGTTGATCAATTAAATTCTTTTGCTTCAGAAATTACTTTTGTTGCTCATAAAGTAGTGAACTTGGGATAAGAGCTCAAGTACAAGGCATTGGTGGAGCTTGGAAATTGCTTATCGATAATGTAAATACAATGGTTGCAAATTTAACAGCTCAAGTTCGTGATATTACTGCTGCGTTAAAAGCAGCCACTAGAGGAGATCTTGGTAAAAAGGTAACTGTTAATGTAAGAGGTGAATTTTTGGATTTAAAAATACCATAAATTACTATGGTTGATTAGGTAAGTCTCTTTTTTATATACATATTTTCATGTATATATTTGTGTTTTTACACATACACTCACTCACACGTATTTGGTACGAATATTTGCCACTAAAGGAACAAGGGTATCACTTGAAGTAGGAACTAAAGGAAAATTGGG